CTGTTCGAAGAAGCAGACAGCTCAGAGTTGCCGAAGCGGTGCGCAGTCTTAACACTTTGGCTGCCTCTACTGCCTCCTCGATACGCTCTGGAGGCGCTTGGTTTGGAACCTCATCTCCGCCGCGCCTTTCTTTCACCCGGACTGCTGTGATGAATCGAGTTCGAGACGTCGTTGGTAGTTATGGGCCGATGCCGGCGAGGATGACAGCTCGGGAGGCTTTCTGGGAGCTTCTCAAGGCTAACGACCTGTACTGCGTCGGCGAGAAGAACCTCGCCCCGTGCCAGCCCGATCTTCTGAAGATCGTGAAGTGCAAGGCGGTGCCAAAGCCCGCCGTCGACTTGCTGCCGCCTGAGGAGGCGGCGTTCTTGATCGATCCTGATAGGTACCTCGTCCGCTCGCAGCCTGAGATCGATGCGTGGAATGAAGAGCACCCGACCTTCAGGCCCTACTGGGACCCCCACTTGCGACAAGACCGAGCTGCACGGGTCGACCTCTATCGCGAACTCTATAGCAAGGGGCTCTTGGGGTTCCGGACTCGTATCAAAGCAAAGGTGGGGATATTCTTCGTGTGGAAGTCGTCTCGCCGCGGGATCAGGCTCATCGTGGACGCCAGAATGCCGAGCGGCCACCACCGCTTGCCGCCGAAGACTAGACTGGGTGGTGCCAGCGCCCTCTCCCAGCTCGACAGCTGGCTTGGCCAAGATGAGCTTGCTAGCTTGGCGCAGGGATGTGGCCCGATCGCCGAGATCCCGAACCTCTCTGTCTGCGTGGGCGACGTGGAGGACGCTTTCTACCAGTTCTCCGTTCAGTCGATGGCTGAGTGGTTCGGCCTAGACGACCCCGTCCGGTGCTCCGAGTTCGACCTCTCGCAGATCTTCGACGACGATCTTGGGAGGCTTCGCCCCGCCCGTCCCACGGAGAAAGTGTTTCCCGTCTTTCTCGGGATGCCGCAAGGGTGGTCTTGGGCCCTGCACTTCTGTACCACCTCGGTGAAGCACTTCACCTCCGCTGCGATCGGGGGAAAACACCGGCTGGTGCAAGAGGGGCTCCCTGCTCCTGATCTTCGATCTGGTCCTGTCTCGAGCGTCTACGTGGATAACCTTGCCACCGTGGGCCTCTCGAGCTCCGAGGTTGCGTCGGACTACGCGGCGATCAAGAGGGGGCTTGAAAGCGCGGGTTTCACGCTGCATGAAGAGGGCGGTGACGCTATGCTAGTGGAGAATGTGGGTATTGTGATAGACAAGAGCAGGTGCAGCATTCGTCACAAGTCCGAGAGGGCTTGGCGGTTGTATCTTGGAATGAAGTATTTTTTTTTGAAGTTGCGTCGGGTGACTGGAGAGGCAGTTCGAGTATTGCTGGGTCATTGCATCCACTATCTTGTCCTCCTGAGGCCGGCGATGTCTGTCTTTGCCCACGCCTATCGTTTTGTGAACAGCAGCCTCGGACGTACATGTGAGCTACCTGGTCAGGTGAAGCGTGAGTTCCGCCTGATGGCGGGACTCGTTTTCTTGGCAGAGGCGCGGCTGTCTGTTCCACCATCGGATCGAGCCTACTGTGGAGACGCGTCAGGGAAGGGATACGCCGTCATGGACACCCCCATGGGCCCCGCGGAGTTCCGAAAGCTTACGAGGTGGAAGGAGCGTTGGAGGTTCGTGGAGGTGGAGGGGGATCGCGGGGACATCTTGAAGGCTTCTGGAAACCTGCCGCCCCCGAGCCCTGGCTGGTCCGCTGATCTCGAGGTGCCTGACACGTCGTATGCGCGGTGGCTTCTGGAGTCTGTTGGGATACCCACCCCGTCCTCAGGTGTCCTGGAGTCGGGGGGCTTTCGTTCGGGAGGCTGTAAACTACGGGGTAAAGAACGTAGACAGCTAGAGCAGAAGGAGATATCTGGCATGGTCCCGATCCTCCCCGAGAACGTTGTCGATCCTGGTCGTTGGCGTACCCTATTCGAGGGGAGGTGGAAGAGGGACGAGGCCATCCATATGAAGGAGGGGAGGGTGATTCTGATGGCGCTCCGCAGAGAGTCCTACACTCGTTCAGGTCATGGACGTCGGCTCCTCGTGCTGTCTGACAACCTCTCGTCTCTGTGCTGTCTCGAGAAGGGCCGAGCCAAAGACTTCGGCCTGCTTGCCCTAGCCCGCAGGTGTGCCGCCTACTCGATTGGATGTGGCATCGACCTGAGGCTCCGATACATCGAATCCGAACGGAATCCCGCAGATGAGGGATAGACGCTTCGACGACGAAACACTTCACTGTGTTGGCCACGAACAATGTTCCGGACGTTCCGGACCTGCTCCGGACCAAAATTTGTTCCGGACAATTTGTTCCGGACATTTGTTCCGGACAATTGTATGAATTGACGTCCTTGGGGGCCGCGCGAGCGCCATCGGCCTGGAGCCACCATGGGAGCCTGTCGCGGCCCAGAAACGTACGATTCGGGGCCCGCTGGCTCCGCATCATTTGAAATCTACGTCCTTGGGCGGGGGTGGAAGCGGAGGAGGAGGACGAGGAGCGGGTTGAGGAGGAGGAGGAGGAGGAGGAGGAGGAGGAGGGGGGAGGAGGATGAAGAGGTCGATGGGGGAACGATGAGGATCGAAGAGGTAGAGAGGATGGAGGGTGGGAGGGGGCGAGGGAGGGAGGGAGGGAGGAGGAGGAGGAGGACGAGGACGAGGAGGAGTTGCTTTTGCTCAGTTGGGGCCATCGGCCACAGCGGGGGGGAAGGACGAGGGGAGGAGGAGGCCCAATACAGCCCCAAAGCGACCCCAAGAGCAGGCCCAAAGGGCAAAACCGAAAAGACTTTCCGAGCCCTCGCCTCCAAGACGCTTCAGGAGGTCCCAAACAGCTTCCTCAAAGTCCCAAAGAGGCCCCAAGATGACCCCAAACGGACCCCAAGAGGCCCCCAGGAGGTCGCCAGGAGGGCCACAAACTGCGCCCCACAGGCCCACGGACGACTTCCGATTGGATTCTCACCCACAACCCAAATGCCGAGCCAGAGGTGGCCCGATGTGGGCGTACTGCCTCATTCCAGGGGTCGGCGGACGTGGCGTAAACCTATAAAATGATTGCGCCCCAGGGCGCCAGAATCGTCCCGAGCGGCCGCCAGAAGCCCAAGTTACGCCCCAAAAAGATCAAGGCTTCACATTGAAGTCAAACCTTGATGTGAAGCCATGTGTTTTTTCACCCAGGGACTTCCATTTTAGTCCTCCCAGCGCGAGGCTGCTCGAAATCTGCGTCCCTGGGAGGCGGTGGGCGCGCAAATGGGGGAGAGCTCAGGGCCGCTGGGGGCCCTTTTCTGCAGCCCTCCCGCCGCCCAGGGACGTAGATTTCGGACGCTCAGGCGCCGCGGGGGGGCAAAATCGACGTCCTTGGGCGGGGGAATCCTCCATGTGGTTGGTTTTTCCGGCGTTACTGTTTCGGGGGGGCCGGGTCGGGGGGGGGTAACTGGCGTTACCCCATTCGTATGTTCGACATCAGCATGGGCCCCCTGGCACATTGACCCAACGTATGGTGCGCGACGCGATGATACGGAAGGGGAGGGGGGGAAGCGGGGGGGAGGAGGCAGGGGCGAAGGACGAGGGCGGGGACGAGGGCGAGGAGGACCGAGCCTCGTCTTCCGTTGCCATTTTGGGCCAAGCCCCCCGACGGTCGGTTGCGTTGGCTGGCCCTGGAGGGCGGCAGAGGATGCTGCGTGCCCAGGGACGTCCATTGAGGCCCCTCCTGGCGTCGGAACACCCGATATCTACGTTCCTGAGCGGCCTGCGGGCCGCGGGCGCTACGAGGCCGGAGGGCCCTGGGGCCCCCAAGGACCTCGGAAGTGGGGGAGCCCAGGGACGTGGAGTCCACGCGTTCGTTCCGGACAATGTTCCGGACAATGTTCCGGGCAGATTCGTTCCGGACGCGGTTCGTGGCCAACACAGACACTTCACGTTGCCACAACCACTCGGGGCCCTCCGCGCTGCTCGGCCTCGTCAACTCTCTCTCGCCGGCTTCGGGACGATAGACCCGCCGTCGGCCGTCTTCCTCGGTCTCGGGGAGCTATGCCGCTTGCAGGAGTTTCACTGGATCTGAAAAAGAGCGCCTCTAGGTCTGCATCGTCCTGGCAGTCAGGCAGGGACGTGAGTGCTCAACAGTCTTCGTCTCGTCCGCCGTCTTTATCATGCTCTACGAGACGCTTCGCGCCAGCCTTCCTGGAGCTCTACTCGGGATGCGGGGCTCTGACGTCTGGGATGGCCGAGGTGGGCCTCAGGGTGTCCGTGCCGTTCGATATCGTCGAGGGTCCGGAGTTCAATCTCGAGAAGCGGGGTGTCCAGGATGTCGTGGTCAGGTGGCTCGTCGAGGGCCGGATCTGGCACTTGCATCTTGGGACGCCGTGTACTCCTTGGAGTTTGGCGAGGAAGTCTCGGCCCATGAAATCGTCGATGCGGGTGTCTCGGGAGCACGTTCGGTTCACCGCAAAGTTGATCAAGCTCTGCACAGACCTGAAGATATACTTCTTCCTCGAGAACCCCAAAACTTCATCTCTGTTTAGGCAGCCCGAGATCCTGGAGGCTCTGGAATATGCGGACGCCTTCTTTATCGAATCTGATTGTTGTCGATACGGCTGTTCGTACAAGAAGCCGACCCTGCTAGCTACCAGCTGTGATTCCTTGAATAGCCTGAGTCTGAAGTGTGAATGTAAGGGGCCTCGCGAGATCCTTCAAGGGAAAGTATGACTAATGGCTCGAGACGGACATCATTGCTGGAAGTGGAAGACCAGTCTTGCAGCCTCGTACGCCCCCCAACTGTGCCGGTCGTGGGCGTGGGCCGCACGCCGCGCCGCTCCGAGGGGAGCAGAGCGCTCGCCAGTCGAGGCCCTACTGTCGGACGCCTGGCTGGAGGAGCTGCGTCGAGGCGCTGGAGCCGGTCTCCGTCGGCCGCGGCTCGAGCTCGGCCCTCTCCCGCGTCGCTGGACCTCGCCCTGGGCCGAGGCTACGGGCGCCTGGGGCACGGGCCCAATTTGC